TCCCCCTTACCCTGCCCCACATTCTCTGTCTCCCATAGCACTTCTTACCTTCTGCCATGCTCTGTCATCCATTTCTTTTATTGCTCGTTATTTTTTTTTTGCCTACCTCTCCTCCTAGGAGGGTATAGTTTCCACGAGGGCAGGGGGTTTGTTTGCTTGACTCACAGATGCATCCCCAGCCCTCCACCCAACAGTACTTGTCCACTGATGGACAAAATATCCACATCCTGATCTCTGGAGCCTGTGAAAGTTACCTACTAGGGCGCAAATGGAAGCTTTGCAGATGGGGGAGATCATCCCAGGATACCTGGGTGCACCCTAGATGTAATCCCAAGTGTCCTTATAAAAAAGAGATTTGGGTGCCTCTGAAGAAATCAATGTAACAACTGAAGCAAGATACTAGTCTGCTGTCTTTGAAGATGAAGGAGGGGGCCAGGAGCCAAGGAATGTAGTTTTAGAAGCTCACAGAAGGGAAGGAAGACTTCCCTAGAGCATTTTGAGGGGGCACAAGCCTGCTGACACCTTGATCTTTGTCCCATAAGACTCTTCAAAGCTCTGACTTCCGGGAACTGTAAGGGAATAAATTTCTGTGCTTTTTAAGCCACTGACCTTGTGGTAGTTTGCTATCGTATCCACGGGAAACTATTGCAGTGCTCGATAAACAGTCGTTGAATGAATAAACACTTGTTGAGCCAGTGACTGAAGGAGACACCAGTATTGCTTATACTAAGTAGAAGGTAACAGCAAACAAAGGCAGTGTAAACACAACGGAGCCGCTAAAGTCGGGGCTGCAGGCTTTGAGGCAGCTCTCTCTCTCTGTTAAGCAAGAGAGCTTTGCATGTGCAGGAGAGCGTTAGACACCCATGAGCACCAAACTGGGACTGGATGTCTTCGCACATTGGAACGTGGAGTGGTTTTCTTATTCCATTGGCCCATGATACTTTAACACTTCCATTTGGTGGTCAGGGGAGGGCAGTCACCGCCGACTTTACAGAGATGAGGATATCTGTGCTCCGTCTGGGAAGAGGAGTGGAGAAAGAGAGAGGGCAGCACGTGGCATAGCTATTGAATTTGTCTGCCAACCTAAAGTCAGCACCATAGGCTAAGTCCTGTGACTTGGGAAGTGTAGCCAAGGTGCTGGGGAACTGCCGGAGGCTTCTAACCAGGAAGTGCCTTTGTCCAGCCTGCCCTTTGGAGACATCCTCCTGGTTTAGCCTGGAACAGGGGTGGGAGGCAGAAGGTCTGGGAGACAGGGAGATCTGTGAGGGGGAGAGGGCCTCGTGCTCCAGGCTCCTTCTCCTTAATGCTTATTTTTGAGAGAGAGAGAGAGAGAGAGAGAGAGAGACAGATAGCACGAGTGGAGAAGGGCCAGGGAGAGAGGGAGACACAGACTCTAAAACAGGCTCCAGGCTCTGAGAACAGAGCCTGACGCGGGGCTCAAACCCACAAACTGTGAGATCATGACCCGAGCCGAAGTCGGATGCTTAACAGACTGAGCCACCTGGGAACCCGTGGTCTGAGCTCCTTTCCATCCTCCAGCTGTTTCCTTCTTTGATGTAATTGCTTGATGAAGACCACAGTGTCTGTGAGGCCCAGGCCTCTCTACTGAGTTTGCGACAGAGGTGGGGTCTTTTTCCACTCTCTACTTGGGGTGCAGGCTGCTGACTTTGAGGTGTCTCTGTCATCAGGGAGATGTTCTGTGGGCTGTGGGACACTTGAGTCTGCAACTCCAGGGGCCCGGAAGGGAGGTCAGAAGAGCAGTGAGGGTGACAGTTTGAGAACAAGGGAAAATTAAGAACAAATATTCCTGTGACCTGCAAATGGAGTCATTTTCCCTTGGAGTCAATAACTCCTGGTCACTGTGGCTGCTCATCAAAGGGGTCTAGGAATGAAGGGGTTCTCCCCTCTCTCCTCCTCCGTCCTGGCATGAGAGGGCCCTTGGGCTGAGCAGGCTGGGCCAGAAGCCAGAGAGGACCGGCGGGGGCTTCCTTGGGGGCAAGGGGACTTGGCCTCTGGGGAAAAGCTTCCATCTGAAAGGCAGTGCACCCAGCGATAAGCACACAAGCTCTGGGGGCAGGCCCGGGCCTCTCAGTTACTAGTGATGGGGCCAGGAGCAGAACTCTGTGCCTCACTTTCCCTATTTGCAAGATTCCGTACTCTACATATGAAGTGCTTAGCAGAATTCCTGGCAAAGAATAGGTGATATTAGCCATTATTATGATTGTTACTGTTTTTATTGGCTCTGTACACTTTTCCTAAATGCCATCACTGTACTCAGCCCTGTCCCCATCCAGGGACAAGGAGATAAGGCATCCTGCCTTCAGAGGGTGCACTGTTTATTGAGAGATACAGACAGATCAATACAAATGATATCAGGGGATGGAAATTCTACACTGGAGGGAGCTCTAACTTCCTGGGGGTGGGGGGACAGGGGAGGGTGTGGGAAGACCTTACATGAGTGGTGACATTTGTACCTTGCCCGGGAGAACGAGGGGAGGAAGAGAGAAGGCAGCCCTTGGCATTGCAGGCACATGAGCCCTGAGGTTGGTCGCCAGGCAGGAAGGAGACGGCTGGAGCCATAGGGTGCGAGCTATGCTCCCAGGGGGTGGGGAGAGGGGAGAAATGGGTGGCTGCTGACTCCACATGGTCTTGTCTTCATCTTTGGCAAAGCCAGCAGCAACTCCAGCCTCGCGGGGAGTCTTCTTGTCTGTGACATCATGCTGAGGCTGGTCAATTCTAGGAATCTGAGGACAGGGCCCACACCCCTCCTGCCTTGGAGGAGGAGGAGGAGGAAGCTGTCTCTGGGCAATGCCCGGGCAGCCGTGCACCACAAGGCACCTGTCAGCACTGGCTGCGGCCACCCCAGCCCAGCATGGACAGGAGCCAGGCTTGCACCCTCTGTAACCCGATGCTCACCTGCATCAGCCCTGGCTTCTGAGCCCACTCCTCAGGGGAGCTCCAGCCAGCCTGGGGTCACAGTGACCTCCTCCCTGCTGGCTGCCGTGTCTCCTTACAGCACCCCACCCAGAGAGGTTCAGTGGAACCACTGAATGGGGCAGAGAGGGCTATTGCAGCCACTGACCTGGAGTCAGGTTAGACTGGGAGTCCCTAGGACCCAGGGAGGGGCCCACAGCCCCTGCTCTCTCACCTCCACTAGCAACCGTCCTGGTGCTGGGCACAGTCCTGAAATGCAGGCCTCTCTGCACTCATGGATGAAGGACCTCCTTCTGCCCTGTAGCCGGATATTGAGCCTTCCCTCTTCCCACCTGAACTGACACGAGCCTCACGTTTAAAAGGCACAGGCTCTGGAGCACCTCGGCGGCTCAGTCGGTTAAATGTCCGACTTCGGCCCAGGTCATGATCTCACAGTTCGTGAGTTTGAGCCCCGTGTCGGGCTCTGTGCTGACAGTTCAGAGCCTGGAGCCTGCTTCAGATTCTGTGTCTCCCTGTCTCTCTGACCCTCCCCTGCTCACGCTCTCTCTCTCAAAAATAAATAAACATTAAAAAAAAAAAAAGGCATAGATGCTGATTGGATGCAAAATGATGGAGTGATAAAGTGCACAAGTTCTGGAGTCATACTGCCTAGGTTCAAATCCCTGGCACGATTTGGCAACTTCGTAGCTATGTTACCTGTGATGAGTAATTTAGCCTTTCTTTGCCTCAGTTTCTTCATCCATACAATGGGATAATAGGACCTCCTTAATTTGCTAATCCAGGGATTGACAGATTTTTCTCTGTGAAGGGCCAGAGGATAAATATTTTACACTTTGTGAACCTAGGGTCTCTGTTGCAACTGCTCAACTCCGCTAGCTAGCGGCTGGCACAGACAATATGCAAATGCATGGGTGTGGCTGTGTTCCAATAAAACTTTATTTACGGACACGGAAAATGGGATCTTCTATCATTTTCATGAGTCACAAAACAGTCTTCTGATATTTTTAGCCACTTAAAAGTGAAATAAAAAAAAAACATTCCTAGGTCATGAGCACACACAGGATTTGGCCTGTGGGTTATAGTTGCCCCATCTCTAAGTGCTTAGAACAGCGCCCAGCACACTTGATGAGCTAACATTGAATTAAACACACCTACTGTGTGCTTAATCCGTGTTAGGTATTACCACGTTGGAAGGTGTGAGCGGTTGTCTGCTGTGGTTGGCTTGCTGGGGAGGAGCAGGCCTTGCGTGGGGGAGGGGGGCCTGTCTGGGAGGGAGAGATGCTGAGGTGAGTTACCAGATGATCCTTTATACCTTGGGCCACCACTGGACAGGGGTGTCCATCCAGCAAGGCCCTTGAACGAGCCTTTCTGTGCTTGGGTAAGGGGCCCAGGGCACTGGCTTGGCTCCCCAGAACATGGCCCCACCCCTGCCTCCTGTCACATCCCCAGACCTCCCCACCCCTGTTGCACCCTCCCCACTACACACTCCAAGGACCTTGGGCCAGCCCCCCTGCCTGAGGGCACAGAGAAGACCTTGCCCCAATGTCAACAACTAAGAACAGTTTATTCACAAACAGCACCAGCTCCAGGGCTGGTGCTTCCTCCTGTCTTTGGCACTAGGCAGTGGTTGTCTGGCCTTGATACCTAAGGGCACGTCCTTGGGCCCCAGCCCAGGCTGGGGGAGTGGGTGAAACCCTGGGCTTGGGGCTTCGGAGGAGTCTTTCTCTCTCAAGACCTGGTGAAAGTGCTGTCAGCCTTCACTTCTGGCTTTCGTCCGGGCGGGCGCCATCTCCTTGGCCCCCATCTCTCTCCGTAGCAGATGTGGGAGGGGTTTGGGCTGCCGGATCTTTCTCACCCTGGATGGCTGAGGGTTGCCGGGCAGGGCCCGAAGGGTCTCCTGCACACAACCAGGCCCCATGTTGTTGTTCAAAGCAGATTTTTAGTCAATGTCTCTGAAAAGCCTAGCCAGAGGGGGTGCCAAGGGTCCCCTCTGTGTGCAGGAGACACAGTCTGAGTTCTCAGACCGTGGCTGGGCTCCTAGCTACATCTCTCTTCCCCTCCCCGCCTCAGGACTCCGCCGGCATCTGGGTGTCTGTGAGCTGGTCAGAGAAGGCCCTCTCCAAACGCAGTGTGTTGTATCTGGGAGGCGGTGTGCCGGGCACCTCGGTGCCTGGGGCTGGAGGCAGGCGCAGCGCGGAGGTGAACGTGGGCAGGTCATCGTCTATATCGAGGCCCAGGTTGTCCTGGCCCTGAGGGCCAGGGGGAGCGTGCCTCCGGGCCCACCATTCCTTAGCTTTATGCCACTGGCGGCGGGCAATGATGGAGAAAGAGTCAATAAAGAAGACCTCAATGATCTCAATGACACAGACGACGGAGCAGCTCATCCACAGGCCCAACTGGCCACCGAAGTTGGATAGAAGCATCTCGATCTGCGAGGGAGGTCAAGCCACACCATTAAGAGGGCCCCTCCACCCAAGTTGGCCTCATGCAGGGACCCCAGTTCCCAAGGGAGCCCCTGGCAAGTCCTGGCCCTGAATGGATTTGGAGGAAGAAGTGGGTAGGCTTCCTGTCCCCTCTTCCTCTGCCTTATCTGATCCAAGTCCTGGCTGGCCTGTGGTGGCCCTGCCAGCTCCAGCTGTATCCCTAGCATCTAACTCTGCTCCCTGAGACAAGGGAGATGGGCACATTTGCAGACCCCAGGCAGGTCCCAGAAAGAAGCCACTCACACTGTTGGCAGGGCTCTCCATGATGGATCTCTGGTTCAGGTCTTTGTAGAATATCAAGAGTTTGGCCAAGTCCGTCCTGGAGAAATTCCAACAGGCAGGGCCCAGGTGAGTCAGGTGCCTTTGCATCTACCAGATGACCAGCCCTTCAGTGTGGCTGTCTCCCTCCTTCCCAGACTCCAGCATGGCCCAGGCTCTGAGCTCCAGAGGAATCTTAGAACCTGGCTCCTGGGGCTCCTTCTGCACCCTAGAGCACATCTCCAGCCTGGGCCTGGTTGCTTAGGCCCTTCATTCACTCAAAAACCATTTCCCAACCAGCCTGAGTCAGTCCACCCAGCTGTATACTCCCATAGCACCCTGTTCTTCATCAAGCCCTGATACTGCGATTGTTTGATTGCAATCTCAAATATGTATAGGAGACATGCAAGTAATACAAATGAGCGAGGTAGGCTGGGCATAACGTAATAATGATAACGACCATAATAACAGCCAGCGTTTATTGGACACTTCCTGTGTTGCCAAGCACCGTTCCAAGTGCCTTATATGAATTAACTTGTTGAATGCTCGCGACAACCCTATGTCGTTATGTTTTAATTATCCCCATTTTACAGATGTGGAAACTAAGACACGGATTGGTTAACTAACTTGCCCAAGACCATACCACTCACAAATGGGCAGATCCAGTATTCAGAACTAGAGAAATCTGGCTTTAAAGTTCATGCTGTTAGCTGCTGCACAAAATTGCCTCCTGGTGGGACTATGGCAAGTGTGTCCACGCTTATTCCAAAGGGGCAGCTATGACTCAACTCTCTAGTTCTACACAGGTATGGAGGTTTGCGGTTTCTGGAACTTCTGATCTTTCAAGGAAAGCTGGAAGTAATGGGTTGCTTTCATGGGGCTATATTTGGTCTAGGGGTCACTGGCTTGCAATGCTTGCTTTCAGAGTTTGCAATTACTTGGTCAAAGTCGACCTTTACGACTAGACTGTCAGCACCTTGGGGACGGAGATCATGTCTGCTCGGTCGTCATGATACCCCCAGCACCACATACAGCACCTGGTACCTAGTGGATATGCAATAAATCTAACCTCCACTGTGGAGATGGGAAGGGCCCAGAAAGAGGTGAGGTCACATGGTAATTCCCCCATCCTCTCCCACCTTCATCTCCATCCCCTGAGGTCCCTGAACTCTGGCCCAGCTGATTTTTGCTAAAGCTCTCTTGGAAGTGAATGTTGATGTGGAAAATTTAAGCAGGATTTAGAAGCTTCATGGAGTATTTTCAGAGGAGTATTTTTCCAAGCAGGTCAAGATACGTCAGGAAGCCATGAAATAAATTTCCTAGGCCATGACCAAAACCCTTTGACAAAGGGAAACAGAATAGGAAATATCAGATTGCAGCCCCAGAGATGTTCAAACTCTTTGTCAACTGATATGGGCACTAATCACTGAGAATGGCGTCATGATTGTTGAAATGGATGTAAACAGTTGGTTTGGCTATACCAGTTTGCACAGTCTGAAAATCAGCCCGAATGCTTTGTACACCATTAGCAAGTGCTGTTACATGAGACTTTTATCTCATTTATCTATTCAATGGGCCACAATGGAAAACTATTTTCATAATGTGGGTCACAGCCAAAACATTTGCGAGCCCCAGGCCTAGAGTGGGATCTGGCTCCTGACATGAGCTTGATCAATATTTGCTCAATAAAGGAATGAGTGAATGAAAAAGAGGGTTTGGCAGTGAGGAAGCAAGTAAGGAGGCTGAGGCCCAGGGCCAGCGCAGGCAGAGGAAACAGGGTGGGGTCTGCTTACTTGTTGAGTTTTTTCTTTATTTGCTGGCCTTGGTCCCAAGTGAGAATAGGCAGCAACCATTTCTGTGATGGAGAAATAAGGAGTGACCTGGGGATGCCTGGAGAGGCCAGGGCCAGCCCTTATGCCTCCCCTCTTGGCCTCAGCCCCCCAACCTGGCCTTCCCTGTGGATCTCTCCTGAGTCCAGAGGACACAGGCAGGACATTGGGCTCCAGGATGAGAACGTGAGGGGAAAGATGGAGAAGGTTAACTTACCTCAGAAACCTCGGATGGCCACTGTGCCAGACTGGTGGTCAGTGTCCACTCCTTAAAGCTAAGGGGAGAAGGGTACGGAGTGAGTATGGCTGGCCTGGCCTGGCCTGGCCCAGCCCCGCGGGCTCCATCCTTCCAGCCCACTCACCTGCAGGCTTCCCGGCATACCGACTGGCAGCCCAGCTCTTCCCGGACAAAGGCCTGGTGCAGCTGGTAGTAGCAATACACTGGGGGACAGGGCAGAGGGCAGTGTGAGCTGTGGGGCCATAGCGTCCTTCCTGGGAGTCACCAGTGGTGCCTCCCTGGGACCCCTTTTCATGATTTTGCTCCCATTTTCTAAAATTTCTTTTAATGTTTATTTTTGAGAGAGAAAGAGAGATAGAATGTGAGCAGGGGAGGGGCAGAGAGAGAGAGAGAGAGAAAGAGAGACAGAGAATCCGAAGCAGGCTCCAGGCTCTGAGCTGTCAGCACAGACCCTGACCTGAGTCTCGAACCCATGAACCTAAGCCGAAGTCGGACGCTTAACCAACAGAGCCAACCAGGTGCCCCTCTGCTCCCATTTTCTACAAACACTGTTTTCTAGAAACAAATGGTGCTTTGTCATATTGAGAGACAGAATACTGTGGAGGTTAAGGGCATATGTTGGGGGGGTCAGCAGCCCTTGCTTTGAGTCTAGCTCCATTACCCCCTGGCTGTGTGACCTTGGAGAAGTTGCTTAACCATACTGAGCCTCAGTTATCTGTTCTGTGAAAAGGTACCACCAATAGTTCCCGTCTCCTGGAGTTGATAGAGGTGGCCAACATCTTAGCACAGGTTGGGGTGCAGCATTTGGTCCTAACTGGAAAGTCGAATTCAAGCCAGGCTTGGGGACAGGAGTAAAACTTTTGCCTAACATCTCTCTACCGATGGCTCCTTCCCACAAAAGGCCAAAGCACAGGCTGGTGCTGGGGCTGGGCTGACTCCACCCCCCGGGGGCGGGTCTCACTTACTCCAGTTGGGGTGCTGCTGGTAGTTGCAGTAGTTGGCTGCTGGAGGTAGCGGCTGGCTATACTGGGCGCACCCACATTTCTCCACCATCTTTGTCTGGAAACATGAGTGAAGGCAGATCTGAAAAATGAAACCCAGGGATTCTCTTTAATCTCCTTGCACATGGATGCCAGAGAGCTCCCTCCCTACGCATCCCTCATCCAGAGGGTCAGCTTCCCACAGCCTTGGCAGACGGCATTAATGTGCCCCTCGTGACACAGTGGACTGGGCCAGGGCTGGCCTGACTCCAAAGGGACCAGGGTAGGGCAGTTATTTAGAATTCAGGTGAACTGAGATGGGGTGAACAGGGTGAGCAGGGGCTGCGGCTGGGCATGGACCCTTTCCAATCGCGTGAGTGGGGGACGTTGAAATGGATGCCAAGAAACAGAGAAACACAGTCCCCAACTTTTCTGTTTTTGGGTCCCATCCTTCCATGTTTGGGGGTCTTTGGGGATCGGAAGCTACCGCAGTATCCACAAAGCTTATAGCATAAAAGCTCATGGCAAAGGCTCCGAAGGCAGGCTGCTTCAGCTCAAATCCCACGTTTGCCATGTCCCAGCTGTGTGTATAAGGCATGCTTGCTTGTGTAAGGGAAGTTCCTTAACTTCTCTGATGTTCTGGTTTCTTCACTGTTGAGATAAGTAAAACAATACCTACTTCACGAGGTTGTTGTGAGCAGGAAATGAATGGATGGCTATATGTAAAGTGTTTGCACATGGTAGCCTCTCACTAAATATTATCCAGGAGCATCATTCCAATGAGCTGAGCTGAACTTTCCTTTCCTTTCCTTTCCTTTCCTTTCCTTTCCTTTCCTTTCCTTTCCTTTCCCTGTCTTACATTCAGTTTGACTGCATTTCTACTATAAGCAGACATTCTCCAACTAAAAGTCTCTTTCCACTTAGCGTCCTTACCACCTCTAAGCTCAGCTCTGATGTAAGCTAGAGGACCCGGTGCTCAGGAGCACCTGGTCTTCTTATTCTACTGGATTGATTTTCATGAACTCTGAGCATCCCAGTAGGAGAGGAACTACAGACTTCCAGAATGTAAGAAGGCAGAACAGATGATCGCACTAGAGGGTTGAAAACTCAAATGCTCATGGGAGCTGCTGACACGAGTAATACACTAGAGGCTGGTGGGGACCATGGGGAATGAAAACACATGCCTTCTTTAACGGGTCCACTCCACCCACTGTTTACATTTCGGGAATATGGGCCCAAAGTGGCCAGATCTTGTTTTTCAAGAGAAGCTGGAAATCTGGGTTTTCTTATGAAATTCCCTGGCTTCTAAACACCATCCAGGCTGGAAAAACTAGGTGTGCAGCCTGGAAGGGGCCTGGGGGCTGCCATTTAGGAGCCCCTGATCCAATCCAACCTCCCCTTGTGATTGCTGAGGATGGCAACCCTTGTCCAAGGGCATCAGCGAGTGAAGGGCATGAGTGGGCCCATAGGCTAGGCTCCTGACTCCTCAGCCAGTGCCTCTCCCAGACTGTTTCTCTCCTGCCCCTCACTTGCCAAGGTCTATTTAGGAAGTAGGCCTGTCTCATCTGTACATTGTGTTCCAGGCAAACCTCAAGCAATCAGTTCAGCTCTGGTTACAGATGGATTGAAGAGGACTAGAACCAGCTGGCATCGTTTGTTCTTGAGATCTTTGGATGAACCCCAGGAATTATCACTACAGTTCCTGGTCTGAGACACACCCGGTTATATATAACTGTCTCCTATGTCCAGGCCACAGCCCGGGGCTGAGCGGCCTCTCCTGCCCGTACCTGGAGGGAGTATGCAGCATTGTAGATATTACTGATCGGCACGTCACTCCCGTCCTCTGTGCACTGGCTGTAGGGTTCACTCAGCTTGAAGGACTCCGTCTGTAATCACAACAGCACACATTCAGCCCTACCCTGCCCCAGGACCCAGACAGGCTGAGCGTGCATGTAGTCATTCATTTAGTAAATATTTATTAAGCACCCACTAGGTGCCTGGTGCTTTTCTAGGCACTGTGGGCTCAACAATGATAAAAGTAGACACACTCCCTGCTCTTATGGAGCTTACTTCCTAGTGGGGTAGATAGATGGTCAAAAGGAATAAATGCATAAGATAACTTTGGATAATTGTGGCTAGTGATCAGTGAAACTGGGAAGAGAGATTGGAGGGCTTGGGGGGGAAGGGTACAGTGTTTCCAGGAGCGATTGGGAAGATGTCTTTGAGAAAGGGACCTGTTGGCTCAACAAGGAATGGCAAGAAAGAGCTGGATTTGCTAAGAAGTGGGAGACGGGGTTAAGGCAGAAGAAGCAACGAAGGCTGATGGGGGACAGGGCCAGGGTGGCTGGAATGTAGCACAAGAAAGGTGAAACCAGAGAAAGGCCAAGGCCAAATCATGGCAGCCTCCTATGCCATGCTGGGAAATCTGGATTTGGTTTTCAAAATGATAGTAAGCCAATGGAGAATCCAGGGAGTGGGCAGGAGGAGCAGGGCAAAAAAAAAAAAAAAAAAAAAAAAAAAAAAAAAAAAAAAAAAAAAAGACAAGCAGTGACTGTGTGCTACATGGGATTCTCCTCCCAGTGAAAGACCCATTTCCTACCCACTTGTCTTCTGGTCCCAGAAGTTGACTTGAAAAAATTGAGTTTCTTAGAGAGGGCCAAGGAATGCCCAAGAGAGTAGAATGATACCATGGTCCAAGGAAGTAAGAGAATTGTGACTCACAGCTCAAATACCTTATTAAATTAGGTTTTCTTGTGGTGTACTAAGTTTGGCTCTAGCTTAATATTTGTCCCTGCAAATAAACAATCCAGACAAGCCAATTAAAAAACAAAAAAAGGATAATGTCTCTCCCAAGGGGGAATGATAATTAAATATAAATTGTGACCAGCTTATAGCCAGGTTCCTTGTCTGTCTGTTTTCTGGGAGTGGGAAAAAAGGGGAAATGGATGGCAGATTTGTGAGAGGGTAAAAGAAATCTTTTTTCTTTTAAGAGTGGCCAGACAGAAAGATAACTGGGGGGTGGAGTAGGGAAGAATCAAGAAGTTTGACACAGGTAGAAAACACAGACATTGCAAGTGGCTGTCATCTCTTTGTTTGTATTGTAATCCATCTGCTTGCTGACCATTACTCTCCCTCAATTAGCTACAGGTACCTCAAGGGCAATTAACAATATGCATTTTAAAACATTTAAACAACAGAAGCAAAGGGGAAAGTAACAGGCTGGTCTCCTCTCTTCCCTAGGAGAGGAGCAGAGCTAATCTCAGATATACAGACAGGCAGACAGGCAGACATGCACTCACACGTTCCCTTTGCCCTGTAATCTCCCCTTCTCACTAAGGATAAAGTGTGGGCCTCTTTCCGTGTCAGTACAGAATAAACAGACGTACTTCATTCCTCCAAATAGCTGGGTGGCTAACAGATCCAGAGCCTCTAGAACATGCCAGGGCTGGCTGGGCCCTGGGGTACAGAGATGCTGACAGTGGCTTCCCTTGAGGGCAGCTTAACTCCATGCCAACCCCCTGAGCTTCTGGAAGTAGCAGGCTTCCTGGGCAGATGTTTCTTCAAGCCCCTGGGTCATGCTGAGCTGTCCACAGAGCCCAGCGTGGCAGCTATAGGTTCTACCTGCCTGGGGAGTTGGGGGGGTTGAGTACAAGACCCCGGCATCTAGGTGACAGGATCTGTCTACTTGAGTAAGCTATGAGCAGCTGGCAAAAGTGGCTGGGGCTCACCTTAAAAAAATTAAAAAAAAATAAGTAAAAGGGCGCCTGGGTGGCTCAGTTGGTTGAGCATCTGACATGGTATCAGGTCATGACCTCACCACTCCTGAGTTCGAGCCGGGCTCTGTGCTGACAGGTCAGCACGGAGACTGGAGCCTGCTTCAGATTCTGTGTCTCCCTCCC